AATATAAGACTATACAAAATTACATGTAACCTCTTATAAGGTTTACAATTCTCCTACCCCCTCGGCGTCACCCCAAAAAATTTAAAAATTTCACCCCAACCTATCTCAAAACATAAATAAATTAGTAGCAAATTGAATGAGCTCGTTGAAAGTGTACTGAGTACATTCACATTGGGCAATATAGTTTTGCAATATTATATTTTTATTTTTAGGTGAATAGATACTTGTTTTACACTCCTACGAAAAATTTTCTAGATCCGCCACTGCATATAACCTAACCTTATTCATGCTAAATTAAGTCAACATGCTTCGATGGATAGGAACATAAGATATTACATTTGTCATTCACCTTTCTAATTTATGGATAAATTTTCTTTCACAATGGTAGAAACCAATCGTTTTCTCAACATTGTAACACAGGCAGATGGTTGAATTGGTCTATGAAGAAGGGGCAGAAGGAGGAATACGAAGATGAAAAATGATTATAATATTACTACTTTGATAATCCTTATAAGCAAAAGGAACATAAAATTTTACTCTTGCTTGAAAAGTTAAATTGTCATAATTTCATTTGCATTCGTTTTAATACAATGCAACAAAAAAAATCCTATAAATTCTTAACTACTAATAAAAACTTTTAATACTCCATTGGCACTCTTAGTGTTCTAAACAGAGTCACACCCTAAAGTACAATATAACTCAATACCTCTCATTTAGAACCAAGTTTAGTTAACATACTCCAAAAAAATTAACCCTTTCCTTGAAGGTTGAAATCTTGATAACTTCATTTAGGTTGATTACAATACAATATAACAAAAAAGAATTTTTTTTGCCGTACTTTCACAATCAAATAGAACTCTTTGGGTTTAAAACAAAACTCAACAATTCAACTGCTCATGTCAAGTATCCTGCCACAAATAGCATCAACGATCATGTCCCCAAACTTCCTCTGCTCACCAAAAATAATTGTGAAATCTGATATAATCGACTTCGAATTAAATGTCAACTCCAAAAGCAACTCTTAATATACTTGAACCATGTATTCACCATCTCAACCAAGGCTTTGAATCGATCAATAATGCAAATTGGAGAAATTTTGGTAAGGTTTATACTAATTTATAATGGTACTAAGAAGATGAATAAGTGTAGCATTTTCTATATTTATATTGTGTAATTATTGACAACTAAGAAATGAGGCATGAGGAAAGTGAAATAAAGTTTTATTTAATAAAAGAGCAGAAAGAGGAAGGAGACATGCTTTCCATGAAAAGGTTGGATGTTAAAGGTGTATGCTTAAGTTTGATTTTGCATTATTTGGTCATTAATTGGATAAGTAAAGGTTTGGTTAATTAAGTTTGAGTTTTGATGGTGAAGTTAACTCTTGGAGCCCCGCATGGCTTAATAATATTATTTCATTACTAGGCATGTGAAGAGATAATAAATTAAAATAAATTAATTAATCAAAGTAAAGTTAAAATTATCAAAATTGAGAGGGATAAAAAGGGTAATCAAAAGTTTTAAAACCCCAATCCTTTTTTATATATAGTATATATAGATATAGATATAGATAGATAGATATTATTAGATGCTAACTCTTAATGCCTAATGTAAATTTTTAGCTGGAAATTAACTGAGTTGTCCATATTCTACATTCACACAGAAACCTATGGCCATATTCTAAGAGATATTTGTTTGACTTTTGTATCCTAGTTGGTTCTAGGGTTTTATCACAATTGGTTTTTTAATAAGAAATTTTGCTCAAGCATCTAGCATTGAGCTCATGTAGAGTTTTTTTTTTCCATATTGTATCGGACATTAGTTACAGCTACGTTTGTTGATGGAAAGAGTTGGAAATTTAAATACTAAATAATGAGGCATCCTAGACGGAAAATTCCGTCTAGGAAAACCAGAATTCCGTTTAGGATGAGTATCCTAGACGGAATTCCGTCTAGAATACGCGTCTAGGAAGTTTCCGTCTAGAATGTAGTATTCTAGACGGAAATTCCGTCTAGAATACATCCTAGACGGATTATTCTAGACGGAATTCAAAACCGTCTAGAATACATCCTAGACGGATTATCCTAGACGGAATTTGCGGCATTGATGTTTTTAATAGGTTGATACTGATATGAAAATTTACAAGGCTTTTGACAGTTTATAGATACAAATGAAGTTGCTTTTTATCAAAAAAAAAAAAGTTTGCATTAGTTATATATATATATATATATATATGTTAATTAACTTGTCATAATTTTATTTAATATGCAAATGTTTTGAGGATAGATTAACGTGTGCACATAGCCTAATTGCACTTAAGTACCCAATAGTTTCCCCTATTTTGCACCCACAATGATGTTAATCAACAAGGGTTAGGTTGGTCTTCTTTCATCTTTCAGAAAAACAAAGTGGTCCAAAGAGATAAATGAAATACAAAGGAAAATACAGATCGATTAATCCAAATTGGTGATTACTAATGAATAGAACAATATACTCATATCTACTACTTCAATTAATTAATTAGTCCGGGAATAATTTTAAGCAGTAATAAAGACAACAACAACAAATGGTAAGTATAAATTACTATTAAAAATTGACAAAGAAAAATAATGTAAGACAATAAAGAAACATACCTCTTGAAGAAGATGAAAATGCTATGAATGTTGTATGTGAGAGGATAACAATTGTAAAATACAGTTCTACATAATTATTATTGAAAGAAGATAGGATAAATGAGGATAACGATCGTAATTAGAGTTTTATTTCGAATTGCTAGATGCAAACTCTTAATGCCGATTCTATAATTTTAGTTGGAAATTAATATCATGGATGCATGTGCGTAATACTAATCTAGATAGTTTAGAATCTTAGTTGGTAACATGACCAGTTTAAAAGTAACTGTTCGTTTGACTTATATTCTAGTATTTTATCTTAGTTCGTATTAGATTCCTAATCTAAAATTGTAGTTGAAAATTAATATCATAGATGCATGTGTGTAATAATGATCTAGGTACTTAAGAATCTTAGCCGGATGCATTCTTTTAGATTTCTTTTGGACAAATTTTCAAAACAGACTCTTTTAGGTTTTTATTTGCAAAAAACGACCTATTTTGAAAAATTTTACAAAAACCGACCTGTTTTCAGCCCAGCGCTGAAAACAGGTCGGTTTTTATAAAAAAAGTTCCGAAACTTCACGGGACTTGAAGTCCCGTGAAGTTTAACAACTATTTTGTTAAGTTGCTAAACTTAGGTTTAAACTTTCCCGTGCATCTCTCTGCTTCAGCCATTATAGCTATCGGGCTCAAAATCAAAGCTCGCCAAAAATAATAACACATTAGAAGAAGAAAATGACCGATGTAATGAACCAAGTCGGATCCCTCTCCATCAGAATCACAGATCCACTTCCGAATCCTCCACTTCCAAGCCTTGGGATCGCCGGCGACCTCCTCCTCCGAAGCGGTGGCCACCATGGAATCTCGAGCCTCGGCGTCGAGGCGGAGGCTGTTGACCTTGAATGCCGCAGAATCAATGGAGGAGGAGGAGGAGGTTGAGAAAGGAAGCTCGTTTTCTCTTTGATGATCTCTTGCTGTTTGTGGAATTTGGGAGCTTTATAGTTCGTTTCATAAATCTCAGCTTTGTGAAGAATTTAGAGAGAGGAGAGAGAGAGAGAGAGAGAGTTAAAAGAGTCTAACAACGATAGCTGGGGAGTTGAGCTTAGCGAGTGCAGAACCGGGCGGCGGTGTGGTTTCCACCCACGAGGGGCGACACGGGGTGTTTGGAGGCGGAGCGGGAGGAGGGAGCAGCTGACGGAAGCGGTGGATCTTCATTGATTTTGGGTTCGGTAAACAGGGAACGAAGATGACCAAAATTGTACTGTGAAGCTTCACGGGAGTTCAACTCCCGTGAAGTTTAGCAGATTAATTAAAAGCTGCTAAGCTTCACGGGAGTTCAACTCCCGTGAAGTTTCGAAAATTTTTTAACAAAAACCGACCTGTTTTCAGCGCTGGGCTGAAAACAGGTCGGTTTTTGTAAATTTTTTCAAAAGAGGTCGTTTTTTGCAAATAAAAACCTAAAAGAGTCTGTTTTGAAAATTTGTCCGATTTCTTTTAGATAGATTTAATAATAATATTAATTAGGATAGGGTAACAATACTTTGGAATGATATTAGGATAGATTATGGTTAAATTAAAACATAAGATTTAAAAAGGTGGAGGGTAATTTTGATATTGAAAAGCTTTTCATGGACTCGTATTTTTAAAGGGAGTATATATATATATATATTATTTAACTAAATGGTTGGGTTTGAATGAGTTATTTAGTGGGTGAGTATGGGTGGACAAATGGGTTTGGATCAATTTTGCCATCCCGCAACACATTTTTAAGGTATTAACGAGTAGAAAGTATGGGCCAGTAGTTTTGCAAGTGAGAATCATCGTAAGAACATCATAGGTTTGAGCAGAGTATTCTGAAATGTGTATACATAGAGAAGTTATTGTAATCTCAAATTATGCATCCTAATTAGTTGGTACACCTCAGAAATTAGAATGTCTCGCTCCAGTGAGGGCGATCGGACGTGGTCTGTACCTGGTTGGCATGTTGTAATCGGAAGTATCTCGCTTGCAAGCTTTAAAATAGGCTTTGCAGGCCAGGCTCTGCATAATTGTTCGTTCCAATTTGTTGTAAGTACCATGCATCGACCTTTTTCTATTTATCGGGATAGTATTTATTTATTAAAGAAGGTTGTTCTCAATATAAGCTCTAGACTGGACTTAACCACCGGGTTTTCTGATAGTGAGGGCCTTTACTGTCCTCTGAATTCATCCCCAAGATGCGAGCCCATTTAGGTCGGCCCACTTCCAATTGTAGCTTTATTTGGACCAATAAGAAAGAAGACCGACCCAAACCCGTGTGCCCTTTCGATTTCAAACAGGGTCCACGAGAGCCTGTATCAGCTTTGGGATTGGACCAACGCCGGATAAAATGGTAGCCGCTTCGTTTTCATCCCCTTCGCTTTCTTTTCTCCTCTCCTCCTGATCCCATTCTCTCTCTCTCTCTCTCTCTCTCTCTCTCTCTCTCTCTTAACCCTAAAAATGTTTGTTTTAATACTTGCAGTACATCAAGAGAAGCAGTCGAGGCTCTTTATTTAGTAGCTGGTAATTTTTGAGATGTTTATTTTCATTTTAAGATTCTTTTTTGCCATTCTGTAGTTTCTTTTCATCATCAATCTGTTATGTTTATTTAATCATCGAATTCTTGTTTGATGCTAACGTGGGATTTATCATTATGCTTGGTTCAGTAAAATATTGGACTCTGAAAACACGCTGACATTGTGATATCTAACTGCTCAAAAAGAGGGACTGAAGTCACATGAATGCATCGAATGAGTATGTTTCTAATAAATCGAATCAAACGTTAACCTAACATAGAATTTCACATCGAATTTCATGAGTTAGTATGGGACATGGGCCCGTGCTATTCAAAATACTATAGAACATATGTTTAAGTTTAGAATAATTTTGTAAAAGTTATGTGTTCACCGCTCACTAAATGTAGTAAAATGTTTAATACATGTGAAGACGAATAAATATCCCAAGATGCAATGATGAATATGAAATGTTTTAACAGCTGTGAGAAACACGTCCTGTAATTGTTTGAGAAGTTTCTAAAACGACCAAGATACAGTTTTTTAATAAATTTGAAACATGTTACAGAATTTTCTAACGTTGAGTCAGTGTGTCTGAAAATTGTCAAATTCTTTCGCAAATGTCCAGCACGCACCCGAGCTAATTACAAAAGTTCATATGTTGTATGGGATCATTGTAGCAATGAATGGCATATAACTCACTTCCACAATTATATTTTCTTAAATCATGATGGAGACGGGAACATGTTGATGTACGCGGATACCCATAATTTGGGATGCACATACTTTTCTTTGTCGCTTATTTACTTTATTTTGGTAGAGGAGATGGTTTTTTATAGCGCTAGATGGAGAACTTTAATTTATGTGGCCGACCCTGAAGTTTTGGTTTAAAAAAATCTATTTATGTACACGCACGCACATGATAATACAGTCTTGCCTCATTGTATTTTCAAGACTTGTCTGATTTACTTCATGTGCGTAACTGACTAGAAATTATGATTTAATCATGGAGCTTAGATGCATATACAAGCATGGGTATCATTGTGCTTAATACTAGGTGTTTTTTCTATTTCAGATATATACAATGGCTGCAGTTTCGATGTGGTCACTAGTTTCTTCTAAAAGCCATGTTAATCCCAATTTTAAAAGGATTGGGCAGATTGAAGAAGGCAAGATAGGACATTGTCCACTTTTACAAAAATATTGCAAACACTTGCCAGCTCGGTTAATAGGTGAAACTGATGGGAAACTGGCACATCAAGGATTTGATTCATCTCCTGTATCAGGCAAAAGACAAGCATTTTGTCTGGTTTATAATACACCTTCATTGTTGAGGAAGCCCAGTGACGTTCCTCTTCTGAAGGTTTACAATATAGAGGGTGATGAGAAGTTCAGTTCAGAAGGATCACACCAAAGAGATGCAGCTTCTTATGAATCAGACTGCTTAGGAACATCTAGCTGCGGGAGACAATTGAAAGAACTGGATTCATATTTTAATAAGCTTCATTGTAGCATGGAAGAACAACCTAGGTCTTCTGAAAATAGTTCTGATACAAAAGAGTACCGTATGGAATCTTCTTCACAATTGGAAGGCCAACAGGCAAAAAATGATATATCCAATCCATGCAAAAGAAAGGCAACATTGGATTCACTAGAGAAGTACTTCGGGGGATTGAATACTGGTACATACTCTGCAGTCTTGTTCAAGCTCTTTTTATTATGTTTTAGAGTCATTTTTCAAAACAGTTTTTTGTGATGTGTTATGAGTATGTATCAATTAATTGCAATCTTTTACCTGGAAATTGTTGATATTGGTCAAGTGCTTAACATTGCTCAATATATGTTGTTGGCCATTAACCAATCAGGTTAAGCGTTATCTTGTTTACACCATCAACTATTTATTGAGCTGTTTTAATTCATTATTGGCAACTTGGCATCCTTACGAACAGATGTTTGTTCATAGTTGAAACTTCATCCATGGTTAAGTTCTTCATATATATGATGTTCACACAAAATATGATCGAACAATATAAGAGGTTTAATGAGAAGTGATAAACATTTTCTTCTTCCAGAGCCTTTGCGTTGGGCCAGTTCTAGAATTTCATAAGTAACCAGTGCAATAGGACAATTGGCAAATACCGTCCTAAGTGAAAACCACCGTGTAACTTGGAAACATAATAAGCGAAAGGATATTATGATGTGATTTTTTTTGGTATCAGATATTTTTCTGTAGCACATAGATGCAAGAAAAAAAAAAATTCCTACAAGTTAGGTGAGCAGAAACAACAAGCTTCATAGCTTACTCTTGAATTGGTTCATTCTCGAGGTGAGGAACTATATGAAGATCCCATTATTGCCAAGAAATTACACTCCGTTAAAGTAAGCTCCCTTCACACACCCAAGTGATCTTCTATTCTTCCTAATGAGGACCTAGAGAACATAATATAATATTTAACTGACTGGTAGAATGACCACAGAGACCCATGAAAAGCTTGTGAAAGTATATTGAGCAATGACACTACCAATAAACCAACTATCAGAAAAGGAATAAACTTAAACAAGCAGTTTTCCAGAAATTTGATTACTGGTGTCTCAAGCAATACTTGTTCTCTTGTGGTTGAACTACATTTGGTTATTTTCCAAATCTCAAATATTGAACTTCAAATAGGAGGGCTTCTGAGGTTACTTGTCTATCTAAATTTGAATGTCTACTTCAGTCTGCATGAAGACAACATTTCTCTGAGTATCAGTGGATCCAAAATATGCTGAAACATAGTTGCTTATCTCTTATATATCATGTTATTTCATGGCAAAAACACCTCAAATCAAGGAAGTTCAACAGCATTTTTTGCCAAAAGTAATTGTTGTTGTGGTAGGAAGATGACGTTAAAAAAAGATTTATTTCCGGACCAGTTATTATATCCCTTCAGTTTTATTTTCATGTTGTAGTTATGCAAATAATTACAATGATTCCTTTTCTTTGACAGTGCAGCACTCAAGAAGGGGTAGTTCATCACGGTTGCATAAAGAAAACGCAGAAGGGAATCCAATAAGAGGGCCTCATTCTTCTGTAGAAAAATGTCATGATGACACAATGACTAGGGAGAACAACAGTGTCACGCATTTACAGAATATGGATGATGAAGTGGGTAACGTGTCATCTGCTAGTGAGAATTTTAAAAGTCTACTAACAAATGAGGAAGCTTCAGATTTTTGTTTAATGTAAGTTATTGTTTGCTTACGTTAACAAATAATCATTTCTCTAAATAAATAAATAAATTGCTGGCTTCTTAAATTCTTGAGATAGTTTATGAAATTTGAGGTTTATACAGTTAGCTCCTAATCCATGAAACTACAAACTATGAAGTGATTCCTAGAGATCATTCATATGCATAGTCTTAGTGTGGACGGCTTTTTTGTGGTTTTCCGTTTTTACTGGAATTGCTCTGCGTCAGTTATTCTCCATCATTTTGACAGGTCCTTTGCCACTTGATGTGTGTATATCCTCGCATTGCTTTTAGTTTGTTTTGCTTGCCTCGTGGAGTGCCCTTTATGATGTTTAAATAAAGCTTGCAAGATTTGTGATTCTTCATTTTACTGTTCTTCTACTAACCCAGATTTTTTTAATGAATGCAGAAATTTACTGGTTGCGATAAATATCGCTGTTTTCTTGTTTGAGATTGCTAGTCCGATTAGGAACACAGAGGTAGAGAACTTGTCGCTCCCTTTGATATATGGTGCAAAGATAAATAAGCTAATCCTGGTGGGAGAGTGGTGGAGATTACTAACACCAATGTTTCTGGTACATGACTAAATTTGGTTCGTGCTTCTTATAGGTTTCTATGTTTCCTAGTTATTTAATTCTACACATGGCATTTATCATGTGTATAGTTTCATATTCTCCAAATACATGCTATACATATGGAATTGATTAGTCTTTCTTATATCTTTTTATTTGATCCTGAAATCCCAAATCCTAACGACTCTTAAGTATCACAGCACTCTGGATTTCTTCATATTGCTCTTAGTTCGTGGGTGCTTCTTACATTTGGACCACAAGTATGCAGAGGATATGGACCATTTACCTTTCTCTTGATTTATGTACTTGGAGGAATTTGTGGTAATTTGACAAGCTTTGTTCACACTCCAGAGTTAACTGTTTGTGGAACAGTAAGTTTAAGGAAACTACCTTTCTTCAGCAATTTTCTTCTGTTAAAGTAAATTTATCACTTCATATGGATCACTTATATCTGATTGGCTCCAGTTCATTTGTTGAAATATGCCACATGTTTGTACTTGCCAGTTAATCTCTTCATTTCTTGTTAGGGTCCAGTTTTTGCCATAATTGGTGCCTGGCTTGTTTACCAAATACAGAACAAGCAAGTACTCACTAAAGAACTATCAGAAAGTTTGTTCTGGAAGGCAGTCACTGCCACTGCTCTGAGCTTCTTGCTGAACAACTTTTGGAGAATTGATGACTGGTCAGTTGGATTATTCACCTTCACATCTAAAAGAAAATTTTAATCCACCTTTTATATCCTAGTGGAAACTTATGCTATTTTATTATTTTCTCTTGCAGGACACATCTTGGAGCAGCTTGCTCAGGAATCATCTTTGGGTACCTCACATCCCCATCCTTGCAGTTTCTAGATAATGTATTTTCATTGAAGGATGGACAGAAACAAGAAGGATTCGCCTCCGTACAACGTAAGGCTGATCCGTGCAAGTCGCTAGTTATTTTTTCTATTTTCATACTTATCTTGAGTTGTTTGGTCTTTTTCTACGGACCTCAGCTTGAATTGTTGGAAATGGAGGATTTTGAGTAATTGTAAGAGTTTCTTCTAATAGAGTTCTGTGGTTATAGGGAATGTTAGTGGGATTAGTTATGTTTGTGTTAGATTTCTATCAAATTCTATTTAAAATTACTATGTATGTAGAGAATGAGATGTGATTGTATCCGGTTCTGAGAATGTCTGTGATCTGGAAACTACGTCAAAATAAAGTTACTGTAAGTTTTCTAGCTAGTATGATAACAATTTCAGAGTCTGTAACCACAAATGATTAGACATAAAAAGTATATTCCAGAACTTGAGCTTCAAATATATGTCACCAAGTAGTTAGATTGTGATACGGGAGCTTTACAGTGTTATTATTGGTTACTTACAGGTTAAAATCTCAGTTTAACTTCATTTATTGTGCAGACTTTTTGTATAGTCATATAAAGAATTTCCTGTATATTGCAAATAACCACATACAGTACAAAGAGATGGAAAATTGTCCATGGGTATTATTTTTTGAATTTATTTTGGCTATTTTGAATCCTATATTTTATATTTCCTTTCCATGTTATTGCAGTAATGGATTATGATATTACTATGGCCATTGTGGGTTTTAGAAGATGTAGCCTTCATTTTTGATGCCTTGCATCTTTTTTTATACTTTTATACAACTTATTGCGCTACCTTGTGTCAGTTTTCTTTTTCGTCCATGATGTAGCCTTTTATTAGCAGACAGCTAACATAAATTTAGTCTTGATGAATATTTAATGAATTAAATTATGATTCATGACTTTTTGCAATTCCTATTAGAAACTACCACTATTTTGTTTTTCATTTTTTTGACTCCACTAACATGTCCTAGTGCCCAATAGCTGCCATTCCCATGTTTTATGTGTGGATAACTTGAGAGCATATGCTTGATACAATGCATGACGCTGCGAAGGATTAGTTAAGACCAATATTTCACGTGAAGACTCAAGCTCTATGTACTGATATAGGTGAACTTGGTCACCTTCCGTCAAGTTCTGTACACTGACGTTAACTTGTGAGACAATTACCTGTGACAGGAAGGTGCTGCAAAAATTCTTACAAATTAAAATTATCCCGGGATGAAGAAGGAGAGAAGATAGCAGGGAACAAAGATGAAGTAAACTTCCCTTTGCTTCCCATTGCAAGGTGATTTCTCTTCTTCATCAACTATGGTTAAGGTCATTATCTTAATTTGCCATTTTCCTATCATTGTTTCTTTGGTCGTGTATTTTCTTAGTCTTATGTTTTTTATTAGCATCTCTTGGTTTGCCTAGCCTTTAGCACTCAACTCTATATTATTAATAATGAAGTAAGAAATATAACAACGGAAGCTTCAGAGTAGATAAGTCAGGGAGTCCCAAAAGTTGCCTCCACTTTGGTAATGGGTAGTGGGAGATTCGGAAGTTAGCAGGTTATTTTACTTTTACTTGCGAGGATTTGTGGTAGAGTGGGAATACTAGTGCACATTGGACCGTTGTTTTCACACCAAAATTTCTTTTCTCCCCATTTGAGTATGTCTTGGTTGCCTTGAGTAATTTTTTATTCTTTCTTTCCTGCTTGTCACAAGTTTTGTTTCTCTGGACAAAATTTGAATGTATAAATCGGGCTGGTGGAGAGAACTAAGAAATATGGAGCATGAGGATCAGCAAGACGTGGTTGTAAGATATCACACAATCGGATCAAAGAACCTGGGGAAAAGAATCAATTAATCTAATCAGAGAAAGAAAGAACTATTGGAGAGTAAATACTACAATTCAGTGATTGTAGAAATAAGAGGAATATGCAAAGTTCTTCCATCAGATGACACAGACATGCCGTGAAAGAAATAAACAATGAAATATCGGTATAGGGAGGTGCTGACGTCAAACAAAAATGCAGCAATGAGCTTCAATTCGCTCAAACCATAAAATGATCAAAATTTCATGTTTGAGAGTAGGGAAATTTCTCCTTATAGCTTTTGCTGAAAGTATGAATAATAATGTTATTGGTGACAAAAGAAAATGAAACTGCTATCCTCTTCTTGCAGAGAGCCACTAAGAATTGGATGATCACCTTCAGTACTGTAAGCTTTTATTACTTCCGAATTGTTAAGATTATTTTTTGTGTAGAATGAGTGAAATATTAAGGGTTATGATATTAGTTATGTTGTATTTGAATGACATCATTTAAAGTTAAGTGGACGGTTAGGATTAAAGAATGTATCCATCAAATTTCTGAAATGAAGATGACATCTTTCTACTAAACACAATTTAGAATTCAGAGGACCCCATCTGAATATATTTATATATCCCAGAAAGCCATCATAAACTACACAACTTTCTACTACACACGATTAAAATGTTCGGTATCAATCAAAAAGAAATTAAAACATAGAAATTAAAATGTTGGTTAGTGAGTAACGTTTACTTTCTAACCAGGAGAAAATGGAACAAGACACCAATTCTGCCTCATTAAATCCTTGGTTTTCTTCCATTTACAAGATGTTTTGACAAGCTAACTACCGTTCATGCTGATAAGTTCTACCCACTGACTTCAAGAGAATCAGATGCATATCTAATTTAGAACTTTACGGTTGCATTCATCAATGTAGTGATTTCATGCACAGGTTGTGACATCTCTGTCAGTCCTTTCTTTCGTTTTGATTATCATTGATCCCTGCACGTAATGTAATATGATAACATCAAGTTACAAGAACCATGAAAGTTTTCTTTCCTTGAATCACTTTACGCCTGCCCTCTCTGTTGTAGCTTTCACATATCTAAAATTTTAATTATTGGTATAGTAAATATAATAGTTTCATAAGCTGTCGGTGATATACGCGGTCAATCTTTAAGTCTGCATTCATAACCAGAGCAAGATACTCTGAGAATTTATTACTTGGAGAAATATTGCAAAATATACATGCAACTCTATTCATTTTAATTATTGGCCCCAAACCTTACTTCTCTTAAGAGTGTTATATATGTAACTCTATTTAGGATATCTTTGATTATTTCATGGTCAGACTTCTTAGCAAGAAGATATCTAGTAACTTGGGATAATCTCCTAGCAAGTAAGCATTTTGGCGAATAACACTTATTCAATAAATGGGATATCCTTCTTAATACCTTCCGACCAGTCTCAATGTAAGATTACAGAGTTTGTATTTTATGCATAGGGGACAAATTCTTCTGAGTCGCGGCTTATCTCCTTTAGATCCCAAAAGGGTAAAGGATTATGCCCCAAATATAGACTTCACTCTTCAAAAAATCACTGCAGCGCACTGGTTCTGAAGGTGAAGTAGCGGCTAACTGGCTATCAACAACAGGCAGAAAAACATAGAGATGCTGGATCTTTAGAGCATAATATTAGCAAAACAGACCTTCTAAATAAGTAATAAATATAGTCTGTGATGCCATTTTCATTTTTTTTTGGCAATGACCCCCCCCCCCCAAAAAAAAAAAAAAAAATAAAAAAAAAATAAAAATGACAATTCATACCTACATGTCGATGTCATTACAGGAAGTGGGTTTAGAACACGCTCTTGAGTTGACACGTAAAAAATGAAAATGAAAGAAAATTCTGTAGTTAACCAGTATCAGAAGCTCAGGTACCTACATCATGTCCTGAGTCTAATGGCTTTTCTTTTTTGTGAAAATATACCCCATTGTTTCTTCCTGTTGTCATCAGTATCTAGCTACTGTCCTTAGCTAAATTCCACGGACAGCCCACCTGGTACAATTTGAGTGAGTAAAGGGATATATATGCATCCTTCCATTCTAGACACACTTATTTTGGTAATGAATCTTTAATTAATAATTTTTTCTTTACAGAAATTGAAGTGATAGAGGGGAAACTCCATTTCAGATGGGAAAATATAATTAACCAAACCAATGCTCAATCATAACAAATTAAATCCAAACAAACTCTCAACATACAAAATCTAAAACATAAAATTGAGAAAAGTCTCTATAAGGTACAAATGCCAATCCCCACAAATTCTCAAAGAAACCATGCATGCGTGCATCAACCACCCCTTAAACAAGATATCCAACAAACATCAACACAACTCCAAAACCAAGACCCCAACTCCTCACTTCAAATCTACCAGTCGCAGCAGACGGAGTACTGCTATCTGCCTCCACTGATGGCGCTTTCGCTGCTGGAACCTTACCTGCCTTCTTCTTCGGCCCTACCCTCGGTGCTGGCTTCGGTCCGAACAAATCATAAGGCAACAACACCTGATCAACTGAATACACCGCCAATGGAAAATCTGAATACAAATCATTACCAATCTGTGTTTCATCAACCCCTGTCGACACATTCACCTGATTGCTTGCGCTAATAATATTTACATTGTAAACCCCTGAACTTCCCGACGCCTGTGTGTTGACCGGATTGCTCGCTGTCTCGAACATAGACATGCTGTAGTATCGAGGCAGGACATGGTAGAGGACCAATGCGACCTGTTCTTGTGATGTTAGGCCATTAAGTGTGCCAGGTTTGAGGTTGTTGAATGCGTTGTCGGTGGCGGCGAATATGGTGAGGCCCTGGAAGGAGTTGTTGAGTTGGCTTTGGATTTGTTCGCCTACTTGGGTTTGTTTTAGGAGGCGAATTAGGGTTGTGTAGGGAGGAGAGGAGGGAGGAGGGTGAGGATGGTTGTAACCATGGTGGTTGATGGGAGGAGGGTTAGGCTAAGATAGTGGAGTTGGAGTGGAGAGACTGAGCTGCCTATGGTCTGTTTTTATACAAAGAGTCAGTCTCATTTCCTCCCCTTAGATTGAAAAGTCGTGTTTATACCCCTTGGATCCGAAAATATTATCTCTAGCCCATAGGCATTTTTAAATACTGTATGAAAGAAACGAATCACAACAAAACCAACTATTTTATCATGAAGTAGCCGATCTGCTTTGTCTATTTTTGTATTGTCTTAGTTTAGCTATTGCTATCTTTCATTGTGGCTATATCTTGTAATTGGCTATTTTTCTTTATGATGATACTTGTAAACTCTTGGATGTTTCGCTAAATTCTCATTACCGAAACATTGGAAGGTATATATACCCACATTTTTATCTTAACAAGTGACAGCAAAACAGCTTTTCCTGTGGTTGTTTAAAAAAAAGTGTCTGAAATTGAGTTTAAAATCAAGAATTCTATTGTATCTGGGGGATTGGATGATATTACTTCGATATGAGGGTTCTATATGTGGATATATTTGGTCAAGGGACATAAACATAAATCATAATCCAACAAATGGGTAAACTAGAATTTCCCAATTGAACAGATTAGAGAGAAATCTTGCTATATCTATCCAACCACGATGCATGGTCCCAGCGGATACAAAATTGACAGCTGAGCCACTCAATACAGTATGTATATATGCTCTGATATGAACATTATTGGTGAAAAGATGTTTGGGAAGTGGATGTGGAAGAGCAAAATGATAAAAGATTAAGAAATTATTATTGGATTATCAGATGTGTTGGGTGTGGGTTGAGATGAAGATTGGAGGATGTGGAGTCCTTGTCAGGATCTTTTAGAGGAGTTGGCGCCAGGCTGTTTTGGCCTGAAATGCTCGTGAGGTTGGGGACTGTCTTCTGCTGGTAGGAATGCAAATGGGCCAGGTTGGATCTTTTAAACTTGGCCCACACCAGCATCTAGCTTTAGGGGTATATGCCCAGATCTGATTTATCCATGGAAAATTGAATAAGGATATTAGTTTTTTCCCCCTTTCATTTTTTGAGGTGAAGGGCAAACATTCATATATCAATAAAGATCTTATAGGTTGAAAACAAAACCACATTCGATGTTCTCTATCTGCTGTAGAGTTTGGGGGCTGTAGGCAGTGCAGGGAGGTTGAAAACAAAACCACAGAGTGAAGGTGCGAATGAGAAAATTGTGTGTGCAACTCTCAGATTCACTAGAACATAGCCTGCGTCTGAATGAGGCAGGCATACCTTGTGCGAATTGTTCCTCCTGAAGAGGCAATCGAGCGGTGCCATCCATACACGGATATTTGCTTTGAGGAGTTCTTGTGCACCAGAATTTATCTTGATGGTAGGGTTGTAGCCATAATTACGTTCCGTTCTTCATTATTAGAAGATTATAATGAAGATTATAATTATGTCCCGTTCTTCATTATTAAACGATTATAATGAAGGAAGTTAATCAACTAGATAGATGATTAATACCTTGCACTGTAAAGATGTCTTTAAGGCCAAGAGGATGGTCTTGTATTTTCCTTTGAAAACTATTATACTGAGACAAAGATATAGAACTCCTAAATCTTGGATGAGAACCTGACCGGCATCAATTTTTAAAACTAATGAAAAGGGTTTCTTAGAAATTAGTTGAGTTTTATATTTTCCTCTTTCAGAATAATGTTTTTTTTCCCTGAGGAGAACCTCTATCAGAATAGTTGTGAGTGAACATACAGTTAATCAAAAATTCTAGGTGATGAGATATTAGTTTCCAGGCTATATTTCGCTGATTGTTAATTTCTCCGTTAGTAAGGATACATTGCTGCATGTGCAGTATATGCCAGACTACATGTGAGGATCTGAATCCTCTGTTGATTCTCTTGCCTGTGTTGCTTGCCATGGCTGAAACTGAAACAAGATTGAGAAAGAATTGCGGGAAGAATTAAGGAGGAATGTGAGCAGAGGTTGAAGAAGAATGAAGACAGAGATTGAGAGTTCAGAGTTTGTGTAGGAGAGAATTGAGAGAATTGCGAAAATTTGAGAGAGGAAGGGAACAGGAGTTGAGTTTGAGAAGAAGAACAGAGTTCTATTTCATTCATTCATGATAATCCTCGTTGAACTTTACAACTCTGTATTTATACAGTCTGATTCCAGAGTTTAGGAAATGTGCACATACAGTAACGTGCACACAGTCTAACAGAAAAAAAAGAAACAATTAGGACTGAACTCGACATTTAATACGGGACCCTTGTAGTTAAAAGTGTTTGCAAGTCAGCCCCCAAGCTTTGTGTATCAGTCCCCCAAGCATGCGTATCAGTCCTCAGCTTCATAGGCTCTGCTCTGGCTTAGTTCACAGGTTACCAACCTGATCATTGGTCCCTGACACTACACCTGTCTATTCCCTTGCGGGTATGGATCTAAACAGAATTAAACTCTCTCTATATCAAATGAGTGATCAGGTTTTGGATATGAGTTCATAAGAAAAAGGATCAAAAGATCATCTTTTCTTCTTGTTCCAATGTCTTTCTATTTCACGTTTTTGCTTATGGGCCTCACTGAAACTAAGATTTAGTGGATCCAAGTTGATACGGACAGTAACCGTATTCAAATGGGATATTATCGTCAACTCTTGTTCTGATCATCTCATAATCAACTCTTGTTCTGATCATCTCATAATAATGGCCTCCTGTTGAGACGGATTTATTCTGTGTATGTTTCTTGAATTCATTGATTTTATTTAGGGAAAAATGCTTCCAGCCCCCAAAACCCAAGAAAATGTGCTCCCCCCCCTCAAGATTTTGTCAAAGGGTGTTTTGCCCCCAAAAATAAAGATTTTATTCTCTGAGCCCCCAAAACACAAAACCCAAGAGATTAAAATATGTGAAGACCATAATACCCTTCTTTCTCTTTTTTTTATCATGATGTACTGAGATGATAGTTGAAATGATTGATGGGGGATTATTTTATTATTTTTGTTTTTTATTATTTTCGTTATTGATGAGGAGAACTAACTGTTTGTATTGGGAGATTGTTGAAGTTACGGGTTAATTGTTAAGGTTACAAGTTAATTGTTAAGGTTACGGATCAATTGTTAAGGTTATGGATGCATTCTCTCTCTCTCTCTCTTTATCATGATGTTACTGTGATGTTGTTGAAATGATTGAAGGGGATTGTTATTTTATTATTTTATTATTTTCGTTGTTGATGAGCAAACTAATTGTTTTTGTTTGTATTGGGAGATTGTTAAGGTTACGAGTTTAATTGTTAATGTTACGGGTTGGTTGTAAAGGTTACGGGTTTAATTGTTAAGGTTACGAGTTTAATTGTTAAGGTTACGGATTTGTTGTTAAGGTTACGGGTCGGTTATTAAGATTACGGGTCGGTTATTAAGGTTACGGGTTGGTTGTGAATGTTACAGGTTTAATTGTTAGGTTACAAGTTTAATTGTTAAGGTTACGAGTTTAATTATTAAGGTTACATGTTTGTTGTTAAGGTTACGGGTTGGTTGTTAATGTTACGGGTCGGTTGTTAAGGTTACAGGTCAGTTGTTAAGGTTACGAGTTGGTTGTGAATGTTACACGTTGGGATATATATGTATATATATTTTGAGTGGAATGAATAATTTGGGTCACTTGGCCTAGTGGTAAATGTTAGGAGTTTGGACAAGAGGTTACAGGTTCAAACCCCTATACCCATAATATTTTCAGAATATTCGTTGTTAAGGTTACGGGTTGGTTGTGAAGGTTACGGGTTGGTTGTTAAGGTTACGGGTTTGTTGTTAAGGATATGCGTTGGTTGTGAATGTTACGTTTTGGTTGTGAAGTTAACCTACACAACAAACCCGTAACATTCACAACCAACCCGTAACATTAACAACCGACCCGTAACCTTAACAACCGACCCGTAACCTTAACAATTAACCCGTAACCTTAACAATTAAACCCGTAACCTTAACAATCTCCCAATACAAACAAAAACAATTAGTTTCCTCATCAACAACGAAAATAATAAAATAACAATCCCCTTCAATCATTTCAACATAATCACAGTAACATCATGATAAAGAGAGAGAGAGAGAGAGAGAGAGAGAGAGAGAGAGAGAGAATGGATCCGTAACTTTAACAATTAACTCGTAACCTTAACATTTAACCCATAACTTTAACAATCTCGCAATACAAATAGTTAGTTCACCTCATCAACAACGAAAATAATAAAATAATCCCCATCAATCATTTCAACTATCATCTCAGTACATCATGATAAAAAGAGAGAGAGAAGAGTATTATGGTCTTCACATATTTTAATCTCTTGGGTTTTGTGTTTTGGAGGCTCAGAGAACAAAATTTTTATTTTTGGGGGCAAAGCACCCGTTGACAAAGTCTTGGGGGGACATGTTTTCTTGGGTTTTGGGGGCTGGAAGCATTTTTCCCTTTTATTTATTAATCTACTAAATGGTCCCTCAAAACAATTTATGCTACTAACTGCCAGTAAAATGTTGAGATAGATTCTGGTTTAGCACATTTATAATTTTATTTCCATACTTGATAATTCATATGTTTTGGAAGAACATAAAGTCTGAAATATTCCTTTTATTAAATCTCTTCCCTGGACCCTTGAGATTCTAACCAGAAAATTCCCATTGATGATGTACTTTGTACTTCTTACATCTGTGTTATGGTCACGAAAAATATTCTTGTTGTCAATCATTCTCTATTGAGGAATTATTGTACGGGAGAACAAAATAATCATGGATGCAAGCATATGATGCTCCTTGCAATTGTTAATCATCCAGCAGTTTCACCAGAGACTATTCTTCTAATGGATGAATCTTCCAGGAGAACCTGAATATTGCGCACATAGGGTAAAAAAGATATTCAGAGATGAGGATATAATATATGTTCAAAATGTCCTGAATTTAGTTGTTAAATCTCCAATCAGCAGCAACCTCTGGAAACCCCAGTTCCCGTCACAGGCAAACCACACAAATCTCTGACACGATAATGTACACATACTACATGTACCAGGCCTCATGTTGACATTGCTTATCTTCGTCCCCTTGTTGAAGGTTCATAACCTTGTCTCTTCCATAGTCTAAATGAGACCTCGCCATTGTAACGGGAGCTGTTAGTGCCACATTGAATAATTTCCTCTACCACTTTTTGAACTTCTAGAAGTTCAAGCCTGCCTGATGGATACTTGAATTTTGGTGGCGGATTTGGTGATCTCATATTAGATGTTGAAGGCTCCTCTCTGTTAAGAGGGGTCAAGGGTTCCCTTGATGGAGTAGACGGTGTTGATGTCGGAGTAAGCGTAGATGTTGTAGATGAACGTGAGGATTTTTGCTTCTCTGCTAACCTCTTCTTTGCTGTCCTCCGCCAGTTCCTGAGGCCTTGAATAACGCAATCAGCAAAAATCGATTCCTTCATTGAAGATCCCATCTGAACATAATCAAGTTTAGAGAGCATTTGGGTATGAGTAGTTTGAATAAGTATGACGGAGCTAGAAACAAGTGTTAGGAAGTATATATTACCTGAGTAACCAATGTATAAAGAGGCAGTGTCACATAAGCACATAATAACTGGACAATTACTCCCATCACGATGCCTAGTACAATTTCTACTGTCTCTTTATGGAAGCAGGTGTGGAATCCAAAAGTGTACTGTACCAAATGTTCATTAGTGTTTTGTTTCAAACCCATGGAAGTGTTGAAAGTAATCCTCAATAGATACTCACCCATGACCATGCGAAGAATGCTAAGTGGAAGGAATTCTGCATTGCCCAATATCATAATTTAATTAGAAAAAATTATGGAATCACATAACACGCTTTATGCGTAGAAAGCAGGTTTCTCCCTTCATATTTCAATCCACTGATAAATGTTTGTAAATTATATTTAGATGTCTGGATCAAAATAGATTAGTTACCTGAATTAAGATGAAGTGGATCAAGTGATGAAGCAGCTGAGGGCGACCAAACCAGAAGAAGTTATTGTCTGGCTTCACACATACTGTCCCAGGTACGACGATTACCTCTTGACTGCCCTTTAGGCACATTTGGGTAATAATAACTTCCAGCTTCATTCCTACAATAAGAAGTATCTGCAAGAAGAATGATAACATTCTTTACTAAATGCCATCCTATCTCAAACAGAGCAAATTGAAATAAGTAGCCTCACCGCTAAGGGTATCATAGGAGCCCAATAGTGGTTCAGAAATCCTGTCAGAAATGACAAAACAAACAAATAGGAGAATGTCAGCATGCTGAAACATAACAGATTCCAGATTCTTTCTTTTATATGTTTACTTGACTATAGCCGTACATTACTTACCATGAGCATTAAGAAATATGAACATGACTGCGTACGTCCAGACCCAAATGCTGCAATATAAGTTGACATACTAAAGTAGTTAATAGAACAAGAAGAAGAGAGAGAAGAAATCGAGTTCCATAATGTAAACTAGTCAGAAATTATGATCTTGATGCTTACCCTATTCTGGCCACCGCCTTAAAGTCGTGATCTATAGATCTCCTGAGAAATTTGTGGAAATCATAGTTGCTGTCTGTATCAAAATGAACCTTTTGTGACAAAAGCACCTTATTTGGTTATAATGTGTTCATAACCATGAATCTTTGGTTGAAGTTGTCTGATAAAAAAAAAAATAGTGCCTTACCGTTAGGAAACCATGCCGAAGCGCAAAATAATCGGCTTTTGAGACTGAACCTGTGAACTGTCTGATACAGCAGACCTGCAAAGGTTTAAGCCGGAATCTCAGTCATGATCCAAGCCAGAAACAATGGAAAAAAAAAAATTTGATAACTGAATTTAACTGACAAGCCAGAGGAGTAAATGGTGGCTACTCCACAGCTTCAAATGTCGTCGCCCGAAAGAAGTTTCACGGCTTAGTGTTAGCCTGCGAGGATCTTGACAAGTAATGTTTGCTGTTAGTTAAACGAAGATTGAAGTAGTAGTTAAGAACACTAAATGATCTCCTAATCATTATAAGGACTAGATTATACAGGAAGTTGTCGTACTATGACACGTTTAGAATTAAGCTTGTCCCAGCTACAAGTGTGTTCCGTGTATAGTATAATTCTTTGATCATGAACACAAATGAATCGTAAGTAAACGAGAGGGGGAAAGCAGGAGATTCCTTTCTGGACCGGATACAAGGCAGGCATCACATAAGTATGGCCTTAATGGAGGTAACAAGGCCTGTCCTTATATTATTAGGATCAATCAATAGTGACACTTAGATGAAATTAACTTTTCTCATTAATGTTGTTAAGGGCTATAATTTTATATTTTTATATTCTAACAAAAGTTAAATTAATTTCCATCATAATTAATTCCTTAAATAAATCTGCAGTAGGTTTTCTTAACAAATAGTTGTTCGCATGTGATGCCTAGGACATTATACTAGAACCGTCATCAGCATCACATTGTCAAAAAAGTTGGCTGCGGCTCACGATGCTACATAGTTGACAAAATTATTTTAGCTACCATCAATCTCATGCTCACACTCTTAAACTAATACGGATGATGATTGGGCAAACAAACTACAAACATGACTGTACAAATCTAACCATACAAAGTATAAGGTCATTTGTGCATAAAACTTTTATTTTTTATTTTCCTTTGAAATGAAGGTGATCAACTGCCACTCTCTCTTTAAACTAGGATGGAATTTCATTGCACGTGCAAATAATTTTACCATCAATCATCAAATCCCACCCAAAAAAAAAAAAAAAAAAAAAAGAAAAAACAAAAGAAAAGGCAGAACAAATAATAACGTTGCCTTAAAAAAATTAAATCAACTCCAGCATGTGCTTAAAGATGCTTGCGGACAAACATTTTTTCACGTATTTTTTGTATGTTGTATTAAAAAACAGAATGATGCAACGAATCTGAAAACTTAAAAATTTAGTTTTTTTTTCTTTTTTTTTTTTTTTTTTTGGGGGGGGGGGGGGGGCTTCCTGACTGTTACGTTCGAGTCAATGATATATAGGATTTTAAAGAGCACAAGACAAAAAAGATGAGATCCAAGTCTAATGTGCACAAGTGAATCTTACCATTAGATAACTGATATTCCATTGTCCTAGTCTCCTCCTCCCAGTACTTCCATTTCTTCATCTGATGTAGTAAGTTATTTCAAAAAGGCAATCAGTTTTGTGTGCTTCGTGAAGATTAGTTAAGCAGTACAAATATATGCATCTAGATGGAAAAATTTATCACTTAAACTATATTTACCTTGACTTCCCCTAATCCCAATGTTACAATGCATGAGAGGACATGGAACACAGCCAAAGTGAAGATCAGCAACTGCAACTGGTTGACACCAACTTCTGATACAAGAGACACCATGCCCTGAATCCCCAAATATTCCCAATTTTTGTGAGGATAAAGAGTTATAACACTTGATGCATGAATATGGATAGATTTATTCTTGTATTTAATGCTCATATTTACCTTTGCTTCGCAAGATTTCGCCTCGTCAAAAATGGGTTCATCACTTCTTTTGCATGGAAGAAAGGAATTCACAAGGCGTCTTGGTATGCAGATCTTTGAGATGGGTTGGCTTGCTATAGTAAGCAATAGTGACATAAACCCCAAACTCCTTAGTTCTACACACCATAAGGAAATGTAAACATCGATAAATAAACTATATATAATGTGTATTTTTTGAGAATATTAACTCTTAAGCGACATCAATATAAAATTACAAAAAAAATTTAGATACTGGCCTGCCTCGACATCCTCTAGTGCCTGAATGAGGGTCTTCCTCTTTCTCTTGTGGAGGAACTGTTATACATAAGAGTGCCTCACCTCAATCAGTTACTAACAATATGAAGTTCTGAAGATAATATAATTTGAAGAGAAACTTACATGGGATAGAAGATGGAGGAGATGCTCAATGCCAAGGGATATAAGAATCAAGCCAATGACTACAATAGCAACAGCCCAGGTTGGAGTCAATTCGAGCGAATCTCCCAATTCCATGATGTTGATGATTTCTGAATCTTTCTGGGTTTCTAATTGTATGTCTAATGTAGTTGGTGTTGTCTTGAGTATATAAAGATAAGAAAGCGAAGATGTAGGAGATACCAAGTTTGATGTCTTGTTTTCAAATCTCAGGTTTAGGAAAAGCTTGGATTACTAAAAGAAATGTACAGACAATAAAGAATGCCTTGCTGCTTAAAAGAAACATGTAGACAATAAAGAATGCCTTGCTTCTTCCTTATTGATCCGTTGATAGTATGTTATAAGAGGTAGGAAGAGTTATTGTTATTATATTCATGCTGCACTTTATGCCGTATTTGACCTTTCAAGCTCATATATTACAACTAGATGAAGACTTTTGACATATTTTCTCTCTATTTTTGAGTTTATTTTTTAATGGTGTTAAGGTACGAGCAATGGAAGATTCTCCCGTACAAACAGGTACTGAAGAAAAATGTATGTTTCTGAAAGCTATAGGTTACTGTCTATCTTTATCAATACGCGGAGAAGATTTTCTATCAGAGTTCTCATAGTACATATCTTATTGCTTCTATGCTTACGCTGATCGTGTCATCTACTACCTAATATCAGTCAATTTGTATTTAAATCTTACAAATGAAATGAGACGGAAGTTTCTAATTTATACTCGAAAGGAAAAATTTTAGTTAAATGGATGAGTATCATTGTTAATCGATAGCGACTTGCTTAAGTCTGACTTCTTAATTTGGATTTTCGTCAAGTTTGTCAGTTACATAATTTTGGCAAAGCTCAGAATGAGGGAAGTTGAATTTTAGAGTAGCTAAAAAAGTTATTGCTGAATGGTCCATGCTAACATTTTGCACAGATGCTGATAATGTTGCCTTTGTCAAACGTAGATCATTTTTCTTGCACCGGAATATCTTATTTCCTTTTTTTAAGTAATCAGAATATTTGATTTATATGCTGAAGTATCTATATAACACTATCAATACAATATCATAAGATCATGTCTTTCATTTATAATTTTCCATTTTGGTGTCTATTAAGTGCAAGGATATTGAAATTTTTAATTGATTTAAAAGAAATTCATAGATTGTAATACTGGAAAAAAGGCGAGGGCTCTATGGAAACACTTCAAATGTTCATTTTGAATCCATAATATCCTGTGCGATGATCTATAATCTTGTAATGGATCTGATCCTCTTTCTTATTTTGTCTCAACCACTTGTTGGTGTAATTTGAAAAACTTGCAGCCTGCAAACATCAGCTTATTGCACACACATGACATGTACATTTGGTACCATGTTTATCTATTTTGATGGAATTAAATTAATATAGTCCTATTGATCTATCTCAATTCATTCAAAGTTTACTCCTTCAACTTTAATGTGATGCATGTATTTCGACAGTTTAGTAATCCACCGTTTTTCTTTGGAGTAGTTAGGTTGATAAAAGGGCATGAATAGAGCTAAAGGACAAGTAAACTGAACCAAAGGTAAGATATTATAACAGAGTTAGTATTGGGTCTTATCTGAGGTAGACAGTTAAATTTTCTATTTCAATCTTTGACACATCATGTGGACAATAAGGTAGTTATGCCCATTGGTAACACTACCTCCTTCAACACCAAACAATGAACATGGAGGTATCCTTTTATCTTAAGATTTATCTGTATCCTTCATAGAGTAGCGCAAAATTTGAATTCTCATCCTCTTGTTTCTATATCAATAGTTTAAATGAAGATTTTGCTTTAGGATTCTCTTACAATTCGCCAACCAAGATGATGTGAAACAGGACAGGGGGTCTATCAGAATCAACGATTTAAATCAAATAACACGTCGTTTCACCAAATGTCAAGATCTTTGGCAGGAATTAAATTCAAAACAACAAACGTGGTAGATGGATTTAACAAAATTTGCATCAATAATTATGAATAATTCCAATCTCACTCAATTTAATTACAATATTCATTATCATGCACAAGTTCTACAATCAATATCAAATTTTAACAGTCACATGCTCAATTACTCTCAACTCACAAATATAATCTAAACAATGAATATATGATAAGAGTTTAGAGATGGAATACTCATACAATTAACTACTAAAATAAGATTAACAGAAAAATAATTTGAAAAATAAATCACAACAACTATCCCACAGGCTGTTACTCTGCAATGTGCTTCGCTAGGTTCGACGTCTCACTATCGGGCTCGCGTGCTCGTCAATGTGGAGGAATGGGGTGGCAGTAAGAAGAAATCGAGGGCGGTGGCATTGACTGGGCAATGATGCAGGCGATAGCGTCAAGCACGAGGGCGACGAGAGCGGTGGCGTCAAACTGGGCACTAACGCAGGCGACGGCGTCGAGCTAGGAACCGACGAGAGGGACTGGGGAACGTGGGCAGGCGTCAGGACGATGCAATCAGGCGGGTGTCGGAGGCAGTGGAGGAGGAGAAGAGTAGGGGGAATCAGAGCGGCTGTGGAGGAGGAAGAGAGCAGGGGTCAGCTGTTTGAGGAAAGAGGAGAAGGAGCAGGGGGTTCGGCCCTAGGGTTTCACACCCGTGAGGCTTCACACTAACAATTAGCTAACCAAATATTTTTGATTCAAATCTTCATTGATTCTCAGTGACCATACAACCTTATTTATAAAGAAAAACTACGTGCAATAAAAATAAAAAAAAGATATAGTCAAATATCTCAATAAAAACCTTACCAAACTAGAAAAATCCCTCAAATCTCTCGCAATTAAAACTAAATTAAGATCTGCCCAAACTTGCCAAATCTTCCTTATTGAAAACTAAAATAAAAAAAGTCAAATAAACAAATATGGAAATTTGTCATTATTGTCCTCATCATTCTCCCAGGTGAGGGAAAACTCGACCTCGTCTAGTTAGTTGCAGAAAATTTTCTTCTTCAATATACTCTGCCTGTATCTTAATCCACCGTCAGTTACTTTCCTGCATCTCAAATCATTAGCTAGATTGCATCGTAAATTCACCATCTAGAATATTATCAAAATTCACTGCTACATAGGTGAATATATAGAAGTGTGGTAAAGTGAAAGAACTCTCAGAAATAATGGGCTAAGGTCAGGTTTATATCAGTGGACTGTCAATAAACATTGTGAACTGCTTAATCAATCAATATTGAGAATGGAACTATGACCAAATCGATAATATAAATATTGCCATTAATTATTTCAAGAGTTGGAAAAGTTCATAAATATCATGTCAAATCTCAAACAGCTATAAAAGAAATCGTATTAGACAAGTACAAACCATCTCAAATATTAACATTAATAGTTTTAAATTATATCCCGACTCCATATCATACATTTCAGTTAATAATGTATTTATTCAAATTAGATCATTGATTCCCTAATATATGATCAATGCAAATCAAAACAAAATGATGCAAATTAACTCAAATGACTATGTATGAAATGCAGACTCGAACAATGCGATCAATGGCAGGTGTAAACTCAACGAAGTGTCTAACATGCATGACGTTCTCTATCAAATGGAATAATTGGGCATTCTTTTGTTAATATGAATTTCCTGTTCTAACAGTGATAGTGAGGAACATGCAAAGAAATGCATAAAAGATGAGTGTTTTTGTGCGCTTAACATAAGAGAGAAAGGAAATACTCTGCAAGGTATGCGGTTCATCTAAAATGTCAAGCTTTGGTCGAATATCAATGAAAACACTCGTGCTCAAACTTGTATCCCTACTCACTATATATTCCCAAAATAGATCAGTGTATGTGTGAGTAACTGTCGAGACAATGCATGGTGGTTTGATATCTAATATGGTAGTTATTTCACTATGCTAAGTTTGGGATTCAACTTCCATACATATATCTGAGTAATTCGCTTTAGGAACCAAGTCAGGAACGTGTTGAGTGTCATGTATAGATTCATGTTTGTCCGGGAGGACTTCGTGGAGAATATCAATAACGTTTTTAATCATTACAGGAACAACTTCAGAGACAACATCAGTGAACTCCGTGATCAAAGGGTAGCTTAGGGAATAATCGGAGTCTTGTCATTGCATGAAACTTCAGTCAACTCCATAATTACAGAGGTAGTTTCAGACGAAACGGAAGTGCATGGTTCTTTAATTTTACTATCCCGGATTCTCTTGTCAGAGTTAAATTCTAACAAATCTACCGCCTGGTTAACGGTTTCCTTAAGAATAGATTTTGATTCCGTTATAGACGGCTTATTAATTTTAACTCTGAACGGGGTTGTACAAATGGTAGCAATGTGTCCATATCATTGATACTTGTAACACTAAATTATTATGATAACTTTGGAGAAATCTCTCCGACTCCTTGCCCTTGGTGTCGACTCTAGGCTGAGAAGAACCAGGGTTAGGTCTGTAGGATCAAAAAATTAATGTTGGGATTGATTTTCTTGTTTTAAGAAATGGGCTCGATCACTTGGTACGAAACCCTTACAAGCACTCATACTTTCTCTCGATTACAGATGAAGAGAAGATTAATTCAGCTTCTCTTTTGTTTAAGGTGAGTTTGATAAACACGTAAAACATGCATTATCTTAGTGTGTTTCAAGCATGATTTACGAGTGTTTAATGCATATTTCGTGTTTAGATCGAGGATACTACTGTGGTTTGTGTTCTTATATGTAGGTATTGGCTCAAGATTAAAAGATTTGATGATCGTTGGAAGTTATACAAGAGTTTGAAGCAACAACAAGATTTGGAATGCATAGTTCGAGAAGGAAACGAATGCACGAGTATGAAGAATTAGAAATTCAACCATGATGCAGTTTGAATTAAGAAAAACTCAAAAGATAAAAGTTATAGATCTCTTCAACAGCTTTCCATCTCAATTTGAATCACCGCATTTCGAGGTCGGACGAAGAAGTTACGGCCAAAATATCAAAACCTGTACAAAGAAGTACAAAATCAGCAAAACAGCCCCTACCACACCCCGGTGTGGTGCAGACCACACTTGTAGCGCGGGAATTAGTTATTTTCCAGATTTTTGGGGATATATAAATAGATATTTTGACTTAGGGTTTTGGATATCTTTTGTTTTCTTCTTTTAGCCATCAATTAGCAACTACTCTAGGGTTCATGTATTGAAGGAAGACATTAATCTCTTGTACAAGATTGGATTGCAAGTTTTTGATTTTAGAGATTTCAATTAAAAGACGTGTTAATTCTTTCCTCTCTTTGATTTATTTCTTCTTATGATTGATTTTCATAATTATTTGATGTATTCTCTTATCCCAATCATGTGTGAGTAGATTTCTTGTCTAGGATTGGGAAAGAACCCAACTTTTTGGTGATTGATGATGAATTGATATAAGTTCTTGGTAAAAGTTTAAATCTTTAAACTTGATTTCTAGTGTTTTAATTTTGTTGATTCGCTTGATCACCGTATTAGCAATTATATGTAGTTAATTGAAGGACTGAAAGGTGAAGATTAATACCGGATCTCTAGAAATTAAGCAGGGAGCTCGAACCACGAAAGTAGGCTAGATTCCTTGGGGATTTGACTTGGATTAGTATAAAGCTTAATGAGTTTAATTTAATCATGATTCCACGAAAGTATGTTAATTGAGATTAATTAGGCACGATCTTTAGACCTTGAAAGAGGCTTTAGATTAATTTAGGCTAATTCACCCTTTTTAGTTTAAACCAACACCAAGAACTAAAATAATTCATCATTGAAGTTTAACTTAATCTTAATTCCACGAAAGTAGGTTAATTGAGATTAATTAGGCACGATCTTTAGACCTTGAAAGAGGCTTTAGATTAATTTAGGCTAATTCACCCTTTTTAGTTTAAACCAACACCGAGAACTAAAATAATTCATCATTGAGCATCGAAGTTGTGGTGAAAACCCAATCCTGGCTCTTCATTATATTGAATTCCACCTGATTAGTTATTATTTTATTTCTTTTAATTTTCATCTCTTCTAATATACTCATTGGAGGAACGGTCAATTCCCTACTAAGGACTTTAGAACTCCAGGCTGGTCTCATTGGAGTCCTACACAATAGTGGCCTCGTATCACCGAATACATTTTGTAGGAGAACCAAGAAGACCTGCAAAAGTTTGGTCTTTATGCACCCATTAGAGCGACACAATTCGGGTTGATCAATAACTCCCACCAGTTCTTTGGTATTTTGGAGTTGTATAACCCTACAACCCGTACTTTCTTTACTCCTGATGGAGAGATAAGGATTGCTCTTCACGAGATGGAAGAAGTCTTCGGGCTGCCAAACGGGAATTATCCGTATGAGAAGTATATCCCAGGTCAACGGGAGTTAGTTGCTCTAGAGAAGGAACAACCCCAAGTAGTAGAGACCTACTGGGAATTAATGTGTCATTACCATATTTGTATGAATGTGGAAGGACGGCTCAGTAAGAAGGGTGAGAGACTCCTTAGCCATAACATCTGGGCCCGATATCTCTTCAAGAATTTGGACCATAAAAATGACCCCGTGGTTCCCTTGGGTCCTTGTGACGCGAGTGAATTATCGCGACGAGTACTTAGTTATCCTCCCGTGCATCGGGTGTCGGACTCAGATGAACAAAGTTACCCTATTAGTACCATCTTTGAGAGTTACGTCTTTCAAGGTGGAGAGCCTATTTCTTCCAAGGCTTTGCTGGCAGGGTATCTCATGCTATGGCTTCATCAAGTCATTGTTGTTTCTGGAAGTTTCGACTTGCTGCCAATGGAAGTGGTATTCCCTGCTGTATGTTTAGCGCACGGCCGTTCTTATGCCCTTCTTCCTGCCATGATCGCCCGCATGCATTATGGATTGCGAAGTTTATGTTACCAATTTTGTCGAGGTAACGAGAACCCAAAGGTAGGGCTGCCCTACACTTATTTCATGGCTAGGGTTGTCCTACATTGTCCGACTCTTATGGGTACGCCTTCTGCTCGTACAGAGGGTGAAGTCATTCCCTTCATTCAGAGGTTGGAGAATTTAGACGTGAAGTCATTCCCTTCATTCAGAGGTTGGAGAATTTAGACTGGGAGCACCATTACTTAGCCTTGGTACGGCGTATTCTTCGCGATCACAAGAGATGGGAATTCAATCGCTGTTTCCCTTATTTCCCCAGAACCAGCTATGGACAGGCCATCGTGGATGCATCAAATGGCCGGGGTTATTCTTTTCTATCACTTGGTTGTTTCATGTAGCTTATGACCATTCGTCCCGGTTATCATATTTATCGTTTCGGCCTAGTATGCGTATTGGAGCCCTACCTGCCTTGTCGCTTCGCTCGCCAATTCGGCTACACTCAATTATACGTTGGTAATCCTAATACTCAACTGATATCTTAGGGTTGTAGCTTAATCATTGGGGCTAGAGCTTGGTATTGGACTATCATCGGCGGCACAGGTGCTCGTTTCTTGCTTCCACCAAAAAATCCACAGCTTCGGACTACACTTGCTTATTACAAGTGGCACTGCATAGCAAACACATCGGTTCCTAACTTCAACATAAATTCTTTGGGGTTGCGTTACATCCGGCGCCGCTACCGATCCAGAAATGCTTTTAGGCGAAGCCGTATACCAGGGCTCAAAGAGTTCTTACATGCTGAAGTGAGTGATGGGGTAGAAGAAACCACTCCTCCTAGCCCTCATGAGACTCAGGAAGAGATAGACACGGCTCTAAATGAGAGTGTATCTCATAGATCTCCTCATGTTGACGAGTACGGGAGCGGAAGAGATAGACACGGCTCTAAATGAGAGTGTATCTCATAGATCTCCTCATGTTGACGAGTACGGGAGCTACATGCCTGCTGCTTCCGATATTGGAGATGCTCTCAGAGATGGAACAAATCTTGGTGGATTTGAGGATTTTGCCTCCATGGACGAGCTCTGCGAGCCTGCTCCACGTGGGTCTACTGCTGAAGGCTCTCATCGACAATCCCCCGTTCTCGAAGAACCACATCTCGACCAAGGGATCATCGGTATGCCAGCTTTGACTTGTCTTAATTTTGACTTGTTTCCCTCTGATACTTCTTATTCAGAACAAACTGCAGAAGAAGAGGCCCCCAGACAAGTAGGGGAAAAGTCTAAGGAAATTGGGCGAATGCGTAAGTCTAAACGCGTCGTCAAAAGACCAAGGCGTAATACTTCTCCGCCCATGACTCCTTTGATAGAGTCACTCGGTGTTAAGATGGATTCGGAACTTGAGGATGATATTCTTTTAGCTCGACTCTGCTCTGGACTGCGTTTGGCGCCGAGTACTCACATCGAAGACGCTCCCATCGATCCTGGTAAGATAGACACATAGTCATTTACCTTTCTGGACTTCTAAGATACTAATGACTTTGTTCGCTGTCTTAGTTATCTCCACAGATTCCACTGCCTTTATCGATGTAGATATGGAGGCGAGACCGGCTTCTGATGACCCTGCTAAAAGTAGGGTACCTCCAAGTTCAGCTATGGAATCAGGCATAGCTGATAAGCCGACTGTTGACCCTGAGGAAGCTGAGGGAAATGCATCTGCTCCAACCGCTATAACCGAAGTTGAAGCAACTATGGACACAAGTGTTGTGTTTACCAGTTCCATTGCGACGATCGAGACTTGCGTCGTACAAAGTACCGCAGTCGCTGCTGCTCCTACCACTACTGCAATGGTTGCTATAACTACTGACGCTCACAAAGTACCGCAGTCGCTGCTGCTCCTACCACTACTGCAATGGTTGCTATAACTACTGACGCTCCCACCGTGTTCCATGCGCCACCAGTCTTCACAACAGCTAGAGTTTCTTCTACCGCTACTCATGCAACACTGTCCTCTAGTAGCACACATGCTTCTCCTCCATCTTCGGCGAGAAATTTCGCAGTATCAAAAATATCGGAGAACTTTCTTAGCATCCTGCGAGAATCTTTCGTTTAGGTTTTGGACCATGGAGGGAATTTTGTAGAGGTTAAAGAGGTGCTGGTGCCTTTCTTGGACTTGATGAAGAATTTTACCTCTGACCTTGCAGTATTACCGTATTGGTTGCACCTGACCAAGGTTGAAGATCTTTTTAATCAATGGCAAAATCGTCGGTCTCGATCTCTTTACCCTTTAGCTGAGGAACGGGCCATTCAAACTATGCGGCAAAGGGATGACTCCTTATTTGAACTTAACCATCAATTGCTTGAGACTAAGCAACGGCTTAAGGAGTTCAAAGAGATCGAAGAGAATTTGTCCCGAGAGGGTAGAAAGGTTGCAAACACTGAACTTCAAAAGCAACGTGAGGTCGACCATCTTCAAGGTCAAATCAAGGCTCTTCAGACCCAATTGGCAGAGGCTGAAGCTGAGTTGACGGGCATGACGGATATGAAGCAGACATTGGCTTCAAAACAAATGCAGCATCAATCCTTGTTTCAAGCTGAAATTGATCGAATGGAGCAGCTAGAAAAAGCTGTAAACGACATGAGCGTCTATTCCGATGAGGAGCTGCGTAGACATGCTTTGGCTGATGTTGAGGCAAAAAACCAGGAATCCATAGCTAAACTTGCTGAGAAAATTCGTCAGATTGCTGGGTCCATTTAGTTCCTTTTTTTTATCGGACTTTTATAACCCTTTTCTTCATATGTTTTCTTTTTATAAGTAGAATTTTGGACGTCTTTGCTTATTAACTCTACTTTGCACCTTGATGCGTAATCTAATGCCAAACTTCACGAACTTCGTTGTTTTGCGATTTACGATCTGAAGTACGAACCTCGTTACATTGATACGAGGTTGGATTCGAATTCCAATTCGTATTTAACGTAATGAAGTTTTAATCTCGTTTAGTTAATCCTCGGCGTTTGAACCCAATTATCGGAATGACCTTCGTGGAAGACAAGGTTCAATTCCGATTTCAATCGAGTTCTCATTATTCAAGTAAAATTCAAGGAACGACCTTCGTTGAAGATGAGGTTCGGATCCAATTTTGCTCGAGTATAGCTAGAGGAACGACCTTCGTCGAAGATGAGGTTCGGATTCCAAATTCAATCAAGTTTCAACACTTTAGTATAATTAAAAGAATGACCTTCGTCGAAGACAAGGTTCGGATCCAATACTTGAGTTTAATTAAAGGAACGACCTTCGTCAAAGATGAGATTCAGATCCTATTTTAATCAAGTCTCAACACTTGAGTTCAATAGAGGGATGACCTTCGTCGAAGACGAGGTTCGAATCCAAATTCAATCGAGTTTCAATACTTAAGTCCAATTTGAAACAGCGACCCTCGTTATTCTTGACTTAGGAACGAGAATAAATCTCGTTGAACGACGTAGTAACTTTCAACAGTTCCAAGACTGTTGATCCACAAGAATCTGCCATTTCATCTCGTCAACGTTAAGTCTTGAGTACTTAATGCGTCATTTCGAGCCGCGTTTTCTTTGGCGTTAATTACGAATGCAATTGATGGCGACGCTTCGTTCACAACACCCTTTGGCGGTTCAGTGCTTAGGGATTCATGTAACGAATCCCAGCCACTTGGTTGGCTCCTTTTGCCTATAAATAGGCAGTCACTTTTCGAAAGATCCATCTTCCTCTTCTGTGCCTTATTTCCAAAATGATTCAAAGGAAATGAACCATTTTAAGACATCCGCCTTTGCTTCCTATTAGACTCCAAGCTCCGATAATCGTCGTCGGTGAGGTAGGCAAAGTTGATGACTTTGTTGCTTCAGGTAACTCTTCTGACCTGATCCCTGATCTCTTAGTCTTCGTAGTAATTCGCTCATTTGAGGATTTCTCAGTGTTCCAGAGTCGAAATCAGGACATGTTTCATCAACTTGTTGGACTTTTGAATGTAACCTCAAAGAGATATCTTAAGTCCAAATATGCTTGCTGTTTTGACATGCCATGTACCCCCAAGCATGCAGTCCATTTACTAGACTTCGGTCTATGCGGCAACTTCACAAGCTCAGTGAAGTGCTTCTGTTAGAAGTCAGCAACAATGTTAGTACCGTCTTCACGTTCTACGAAGATGGGAGAAGTGCTGATCCTATGCTCAGAGCTTGTGGTGTTTTAATTAGTAGTCAGTTTACCCAAGTAGGTAGACGTGTGGTACAAGCACCAAAGTTAAAAGTTGGGTATGTGGAAGACTTCATGCCCAGGAACGGAAGATGGAACTTCAACACCAAGACAACGTGTTTGCTGCGGACGAGGCTCGTAGTGTAATCTCGAAGGTCGTCAAAAACTTGTAACTGAAATTCGTACTGCAGTCCGAATGTCGTCAAAAAAACTTATAACCGAACCTTGTATTGTAACTGAAAGAACTTGTAACTGAACCTCGTATTGTAGTTCAAGTCTTTTACGTTCAATCTATGTACACTTTGAGTTTCTGTATCTTCAATTATATATGAATAAAATTTATATTTTATCCACATATTGTTCTCTTGCATAACTGAAGCATTCTAACTTAGGATTTTTAGCAAACCCTCAGTTGTCAACGGACTTGGGTTGTCTTTACCAATTGTCGTTTGAGTTGGACTAGGCATACTTTTCCCCTCAGTATGATGAGTTATCAAAGAGTTTCTCTTAGACTTCAATGCTAATATTTCTGTTCTATCTTTAGTCTCTTTTAGACTTCAGATCAAATGTGTGATAACGAGGTTCAAAATATAACTAAGTATTAAGGACGAAGTTCAACACATGGCAGACTTGTCGGGAAAACGAACGTCATTTTGTAAAAATGGCGACGTTAGGATGATCAAGTCATTCAATGGCTTAGAATAACAACGACAAAGAAAACAAAGACACATCACTTGGTAGACCTAAGTTAGGAAAACGAACGTCATTTGGGAAAATGACGACGTTAGGAAAATCACACCGTTCAGTGACTTTAGAAGTATGACGATGTTGGAAACGAAGGAACATCACTTGGTAGACCTAAGTTAGGAAAACGAACGTCATTTGGTAAAATAACGACGTTAGGAAAATCACATCGTTCAGTGACTTTTAGAAGTATGACGATGTTGGAAATGAAGACACATCACTTTGTAGGCCTAAGTTAGGAAAACGAACGTCATTTAGAAAAATAACGACGTTAGGAAAATCACATCGTTCAGTGACTTTAGAAGTATGACGATGTTGGAAACGAAGGCACATCACTTGGTAGGCCTAAGTTAGGAAAACGAACGTCATTTGGGAAAATGACGACGTTCGGAAAATCACATCGTTCAGTGACTTTTAGAAGTATGACGATGTTGGAAATGAAGGCACATCACTTGGTAGGCCTAAGTTAGGAAAACGAACGTCATTTGGGAAAATAAAAACATTAGGAAAATCACATCGTTCAGTGACTTTTAGAAGTATGACGATGTTGGAAACGAAGACACATCACTTGGTAGGCCTAATGATACGAGTTGCCGTGCGAGCACCTTTGATCGCGGAATTATCAAAGGTAGGCTGAGGAGAAATTAATAAGAATACAAGAATAACTCAGATTTTGGACGAAGGAAAATACCTTCTCTAGATTATGAGTATGCAATTTACAATCTCTCACAATCTCACTCTAGAATTGAAGAACAAGCTCTCCAAATCTCAATTACAAGTTAATCTCTTTTGATTTAACTCTCTGATTGTTTAGAAACCCTAAAACAATCCCTTATATAGGTGTACAAACGTGAATGGTAGTTTGGTAAATAACCAGACCCAAAACCAACAGGAATTCGTGTGAACAGAATCCCAAACGAACCAGGAAACCCTCGATGAGTCGACTCATAACTGTAATGAGTCGACTCGACAGAAACTGGAGAAATCTCAACAACCAGCGATGAGTCGACTTATGACAGTCATGAGTCGACTCAACCTGATAAGTCGACTCATAACAGTCATGAGTCGAATCACAGGCTGAAAACTGGGTACTTCGATTCTTCTGCTCGTCGTCTCGTTCCACGCTTTCTCTTGTGTTCCCTTATACTGTTTGACACCTCTATCTCATACTAGTATGAGAATCATCTATCCTCAAGCTCCCATGAGGATCGCTAAGTTCCGAAGAGAAGATACACCCGTATTATGTGTCCCCTCTTTAATAACTTGAAGTCCCTTTCAAGTTAGAACTTCAGCTGAGGAAACTCGCGAGCTCCTCCATCTTTTCTGCACCACCTGGCCTTGCTAGGAATCCGGTCTCGACGTCCTATCGGAAACAACTCATTCGTCCCGCGTCTCGTCATAGTCACCGTTCGCTCTAAGTTACAATCCTTTGTCGATGGCTTTTCTGGAAGTCTAATGCACAGCGAGATAAACTTCTTGCTTGCATTCACTAGTCTCTTCGTTCGCGTCACCGTGCCCAAGCTTATCTCCTTCGGAAGAGATGCCGAACAAAATATGAACTTTACACCATTCTTAGTGAAGGTGTACTTCTGAGCTCGTCTCTCGTAGATCGCATATCTATCCCATAAGTACGGATTTCCCAGTATAATTTGACAAACATCCAATGGAACGACGTCGCACGTGACCTCGTCAATATACGACTCGTGGAGCGCAAATCTGATAGTGCATTGATCAACTACACTCAGTTTCTCCTCCTTCTGAATCCACCCCAATGGATAGGGCTTCGGATGCTTGACCGTCTTCAGACCTAG